TTCTTGTTCCTTCATTACAAAATTTTTCCCATCTACTTTTAATAAATCCTTATATTGTACCCAATTTTCACCTTTATAAACAGTAAATGGTGTTATAACTTCAGCGGGAACTATCCAAAGAGGTCTCTCATCCGAGAAATACCTCTTGTATTTATTCCAAACATCATATAAGTTCCTTCTGATAAAGTGGTGTTTAAAGAAACCATCAGCTTTTTGTTTATCATACCACAAATAAGCATGCCAACCAAATCTACAATCATGACCTTCCAGTGCTAATAATTTTATATTACTAAGCGTAACCCATTGTTGCAACCACGTCAAACAAACAGCTTCATGATACAATCTCAAATTTGGCAATTGAAAACCTCCTCTGTCTTTTGCATCAAACAAAATTTTTTGTTTAATTCTCGACTTTTTCCCTGCCCATACAAATTTCGAAATTTCTTTTTGCCACCTTTGAAAAATGTTCGGGTCTTTCACAATTGGAATCGTCTGGAATAAAAACATCAATCTTGGTAATACATTCATTTTGATTACCGAAATTCTCCCCATCAAAGATAAATTCAGTGTATTCCATTTCTCCGTATCTTGCTGAATTTTCTTCCAGAGCTTTTCATAGTTGTTTTTATACAAATCTATATTTTTCACTGTTAGGTCCACTCCCAAATATTTAACCTTCTTCACCACTTCACATTGGGTTAAATCCTGTAATTCGTTTCTCTTCTTTTCTGACATATTTTTACACAACATCTTCGATTTATCCTTATTAAGATAGAAGCCTGCTAAATCTCCAAATTCTTTTATTTTGTTCAATAATCTCGGCATGTTTTCCAAGGGTTCTTCAACAATAAACATTACATCATCCGCAAAAGCTCTATATTTATATAAAAAAACCTTAATGTTCATACCTTGAATTTCACAATCTTGTTTAATTTGTTTCAGCAAAACTTCCAATATCCATATAAATAATAATGGGGACAAAGGACAACCTTGCCTTGTCCCCTTTTGTACTATAAAGGGTTCTGTCAATTCATTGTTAACAATCAACGCTGCTTTTTGATCTGTATATATAGCTTCTATACAATTCTTAAATTCTTCTCCAACCTGCATTTTTTCTAAAACTAAAAACATAAAATCCCAATTCAAATTATCAAAAGCTTTTTCTGCATCTGCAAAGAAAAATGCCACTTCTTTTCCGGGATGTTTTTCATAGTATTCAATCGCATCAATTACAACTCTCAAGTTATCTCTAATTTGTCTATTGGGCAAAAAACCAGCCTGATCTTCGTCAATCAACTTAGACAAATAAGTTTTAAGTCTTTCCGAAATAATTTTAGTAAATAATTTATAATCCGTATTTAGTAAAGAAATTGGTCAGTAATTTTTAACTTTCGATAAGTCCTGCATTTCTTTTGGTATCAACGAAATATTTGCCTCCTTCCATGATGTCGGTATCTTCTTAGTTACTCTTATCTCGTTCATCAAAAAAACTAACTTCGGGATCAGCTCCGTCTTCAATCTTTTATAATATTTCACTGTGTATCCGTCAGGACCCGGAGCTTTTCCCATTTTAGCTTCTGAAATTGCCATTTCCACTTCTTCATTTGTTATCGCTTTATTAAGTAAATCTTTACAGTCTGCCGACATCTTTTCCATTTGAATTCCTTCCAAATATTTCTTTATTTTCTTCTTATCAATACCTTTCTTCGCAAACAGATTCACATAATATTTAAAAAATTCTCTTTTGATTGCAGCATTTTCCGTCATTATTTTACCATGTTCCTCAATTTTTGTAATAAATTTATTTTCTCTTCTCTTTTTCAATTGCCATGCCAACAATTTCCCAGGTTTATTTGCTCCTTCGAAAGATTTCTGTTGTAATTTCTTCAAATTCCAATAAACTTCTTGATTCAAAATTGCATCTAATTGTTCTCTCAAAATATGTAAATCTCTTATGATTGCTTTTTTCCCCGGTCTCTTTTTCAGTTCTTTTTCTTTCAACAATTTTTCCCAAAAAATTTTCTAGTTGTGCCTGTTTTCTTCTCTTTTCTTTAGAATTCATCGAAATCAGCAACCCTCTCATTACTACCTTATATGTGTCCCATACCGTTTGAACAGGCATCTCTGGAGTTAAATTTATTTGAAAAAAGCTTTCTGTTTCTTTTTTCAAAGCATCCAAAATCTCTTTCAGGTCTAGCAGGTCTTCGTTTAATCTCCATCTCGGTGTTTTACATCCTTCTCTTAATTTCCATAAAATAGGGTTATGGTCTGAATGAATTTTTGGAAGAATCTCACAAGTTTTTGTCTCAATATTAAATCTCCCGTCGCCCACAACATATCAATTCTAGAAAAGGATTCATGTCTATTTGAATAGAAAGTGAAATCTTTCACTTTAGGATTCATAGTTCTCCACACATCTTGTACATTTTCCTGTTGAATCAGTTTAAAGAAACTTTTTGGCAGTTTGCCTAGTCTATCCTCTTTCTTCTTGGATTGTCTATCAATTTTGTTATTCACTATTCCGTTAAAATCGCCTGCCTCAGCCCATGGAATTTTGAGTATTTTAGGGACCTATTCTGTGCACCTTCAAAATGGCCGGCGCTACTCCTTCTTCCAGATTAAAAATATAAATGCCAGCCAGGAAGAAATAAAACAAATTGGATCTGAGTTGCCTTCCTCCCCTTCTGGGATCCCACGAAATTTCACGTTTAAATTTCTAATTTGAGTTTCCACTGTGATTAGTCTTTCCCTGTAATCAGATTCTTTGGACTGTAACTCTCTAACATCATGTTTTAACATAAGGCCTAAGATGAGGGCTGATTCTGCTGTGCCGGCTGTTTTATTAAGCAAGGCTTGGATTTCAGACAGTTGGTCTCTTACCGGTTGTAGCGATATTTGCATGCTGTTTGTGAGTCTTTGTTCCATTTGTTCTAAGAGGGTGGGCAGATCAGGATGATTACTAGCCTGTGAGGAAGGTTGTTCCACCGCCATCTTGGCCTTGTCTGTGCCTGAATTTGTGTGCTCCAGGCGACTGTTTCTCGGCAAAAAGAAGTCCTGAGCTTTTTTAGTATTATTTTTTAGAGTAGCTGTTTGTGCCCTGTAGTTTCTGCCCATTCCGGGGAAGGTAGCAATTGGATTAGAGTTGATGTGTTTTCTTGTAGAGGGAGCAGGGTCGGAGCTCACAGATTATGTGACTGCCATTGTTCATGGCATCGCCATGCCCTCCATGGTTTAGCAACTGTTGACCTCCTTGAATATCTCTATAGTAGAAAAGCAGCACATCAGTATATTTAATTTTCAACATGGCCACATCTGTGAATATTTAAATCTGGAAACTGGAGCCATGAACAGACAAGCCAGACATTCTACAAACCTGAAAAAAGCCCCCGGTTAGTGGGGTGGTGGTGAAATTTTAAAAAAATACATTGGGGGTTAAAACACCCCCAAAATAATAGAAGTGGCGCCTATACCAATAAGAAACAAAGGCCTTCAAGTGGCCATTTTGAGGGTCACTAGGCAACCACAACATACTACCAGCCTTCGATGCTTGGCTTCTGTCAGTAAAACGTGAGGTAGGGCAGCAGGGCCACTTCCAGACTGTTTTGGACCCCTCGGTCCACCCCTGTTCTCCTTCCACCTGCAGTGGAGGGTAGACTCGTTGGGGCCAGGCATAGCAGCAACCAGCAGGTGGCTTACTATCACACAAATTGCATGACTCACCCAACCCAGTGGTGACCACCTGGTGACTCAGTATTAGACAGCAGCCAGTGCACGAAAGCCAATGTGGTGTAGTAGTAAGAGTATCAGGTTAGGATCTGGGAGACTCATTTTTGAATTCCCACTCTGTCACTCACTTTCAGCACTCTCTCTACCTAACAGTGTAGTGGTGAGGATCAAATGTAGGTGAGGAGAACAATCTAAACTTTGGGTCCCCATTATGGTCAAAGGCAGAGTATAAATGAAGAAAAAAATAAAGTTGAATATGGGGCAGATATGGTTGGTTTGTGGGTGAGAAGGAAACAGGGAAACAGGGAAACAGGGAAAGGTGAGGATATGGGGGTTGCCAGGAGGATGAAAAAACTATGGAGATGGGGATTTAGGAGAAAGTGAGGTGCAGCCTGAAAGTAGTTGCAGGTTCCCCACTGTATAACTGGGCCTGCACCATGCAATTGGGTCTGCACCATGTGGCCTGCACCATGCAATTGGGTCTGACCCAGTGACTGGCACTGCACATTTGGGCCTGTTGGCTGGCACTGCAGAACTGGGCCATTGTTTTCCTGGGCAGAGGTTGCTGGGGAAGGGAAGCAAGGAAAGCTGCAGACGTGGGGGGGGGCAGATAAATCTAGGCTGGCTGATGGGTGGGAAAGAGAGAAAGGAGGGAAAACTATGGGGGCTTTCAGGGAAGGGAAAGAGACAATTGGCGGGGAGGGGGAAAAGATTTGACCCCTGCAAGTCCTTGTTGTTGTTCCACTTGTAAATTAACTAACTGTATTCTTCACGGCTCCTGAGGCTGGCTTAGACCTTCTCCCCACATCCCTGGGACAATCCACATAGAGAACAGCTTTGAGAAGTTCTGGGCACTAAATGGGGCTGCCACAATGAAAATAAGTTTCTTGTATTTCTCTTATTTCTCTCTTAGGATATGCAAAGGTCAGGTCTCACCTGAAATATCGAACCCATAGATTTAAAATTATTCTGTGGTGGCTAGAATGCCTTGAGAGGGTGACTTCTAATTTCTCGTTTGTGCCACATCAATTGTCAGTGCAAAGATGGGGGGGGGTGTCATTTGTGAGATACATGTGGTGTGTAGTTCAGTGCCTTCATTGTCCCCAGAGCTGAAATGTACATCTTCCCCCTTTCCATAAAATAGAAGCAAACACCCACAATTCATATAGCCAGATCATCTCTTTAAAGAGACTTGTGGAAGAATCATATTAAACCTAAAACGGTCAAGTCTTCCTTTCCTTGATTATGGATTGAGGCATTAGTGGTACAGAAGTATGAAGCCTGGTATGTATGTTTGCTAAGTACTATTATTAATATAAAGTCTTCATGGAATTTCCCCAGCAGTGAAAGAGAAACAAGTAACTTTTACTTAAATTTATCACAGAAGCCTATCATTACCAAATTTGTTAATGAGAAAGGAGCAGTTTACTTGAATTTTTTTTGTATTGGGGG